AACAGTTCTTTTGATTGTGTTGCATACAAGATATGTTATAAAGATGTCCAGTGTGGGAAGGCTAAGATGTTTTTCATGTTTGAATGCATCATATGCTGGATTTTGGCCCAGTACTTCAAGCCACTTCCGATATCGAATGTGTATCACTGGGGCATAACTGGCGCCCTGGGCAATGGGACCTGCAGAGCGTGACATATTCTTTAAAAGAATGTTTGCCTTTGGAATCCCGAAAGTTTCTTGGTCATATAGACTGCAACCTTTGCCATATATCCCTGACCGGTTCCGCCTGTTTCCATTGAGGTTATCATTTTCCTGGTCCTTCTGATCTCCTGGATGGAGGACGCCGATGATGTCAAGTCTGACTTTCAAGTGATCGAATATTTTAGTGGCTGTGGCCGCATAGCCCAGCTAGCTGACTATGCTGGGTATCAATCAGTGGGATTTGACTTGGAATATGGCATTCCAAAAGCTAGACAAACTGGTCGACGGAATGCAATGGACTTAAATTCAAATGGCGGGTTCGTCTTGGCGGCAAAATTGATTTTGAGATCTCGATTGGACCTGCTAGTCGCAATGTTTGCCATACGTTGCAGCTCCTTTGTGCCAGTAAACAGAGCCACTGGGTCCCGGGATATATTAGTTCCTGAGGGAAATGAACATGTAGTTTCTGTCCGAAAATCCAATAAACTTCTATCTCGGAATCTTGGATGGAAATAATAATTGTTTTGGGTTGTGGCATTTTTTCTTTGATTTGAATATCCCCCCTTACACATTGAAATCCCCTGGGATTGGTTAACAGTTAACAAGATATGGTTTTTATAGATATAGCTCTAGGTTGACCGTCGCTTGTGCTCAGGAGCGTGATTCTCATGGTCATGGTCATTTGCGCAGGTGGCACCATTTGCCTTGAAAACCCACAGAATTCAGTGATCACCCTCCATGAACGATTTGTATGGTTTGTCAAGCTCCTACAAAGCTACAGCATCCCAGCACCTCATCGTTAAGAGTTGGGTATATATAGCATTGGGCGGAATCAGAAAATAATGACTATGATAATTCGATATCTGTATCCAGTTGACCTGAAACCATGCTAGTTTTCAAAGAACTCTTGAAGTTTTCATTGTTTGAAGTGGTGACATAACAAGTATGAAAAATCCCTTACATGCGTGCATTGTCAACTAAGATCTTCAAAGCTTCTTTCTGGATGCGGAAGCACCTGGCTTTGACTTGGAAGCGCACCTGGATGTGGGCAAACTCCAAACTTATTGAGCAGTTGGACCTGGGCCCGCTTCAGCCATCAGAACGGCTAACAACTGTGAAGACCACCAAAAGGACGAAAGGAAAAGATGGGAAGACTAAGTGGCAGGGAAACCGGAACCTGAAAGGTACCCAGTGATTTGACAGCAATCTGTAAACATTTTCATTTAGGTGATTCCCAGTTCTTGGTTGCCAGCAATTGCAAAGGTTACCAAAGTTGAAAAACCACTGGTGCTATATAAGTTCATTGGAGGGAAATAGCGTTCTTATTTCCCTTCTACTTCTCTATCGGGGCCACTGCCAGAGCTGTTTAAGGCAGTATACATATCGCTTTGCCCGCCACATGGTGGAACTGTTCCCAAAGTTTTTGGACAGCAAACCTGCTAGATTGCTTCCTGCTGCACCTAGCACTCATGGATCAAATTTTGGATTGTTTTTGAGGATGTTCCCATTTTGTTTTTTTAGGATCAACCTGAATTGTTGAATATCATTGCCTTGTCCGGTAACCAGGTATCAGAAGACAAGTCTGTGTTGCAGCTGTTCAAGGAGTGCAGCTTTGATGAGCGTTGGGATGAATGTTGTGATCTTCAAGACCTTTTAGTTTACTGCAGGGGTTCAAAAAGACTCCGGATTCCTCCAGGGTGGAGGGATGTGTTGCCCTGTGAGCTCTAATCCTTGAGCTCCCTGCTGCGAAGCACCGGATCCCACTGGCGCTCCTGACCATGGATGAAAGATGCACTCTCTAGGGCTGTGGTCGTTGTGGTGGGGATTCTCTTTTGTGGTTCAATTGCCTGTTTCAAATTTAAGATCCAAAAGCTATTGTTCATGAAATCCATGAATGCCATCAAGAAGGGCTTGAACAACTCACGGTTGGATTATTCATGAAACCCATGAAGAGTGTTCAAATATCGTCAGGGAATCGGCATGCACACTTGGTAATGATTTATTCATGGAGTTCATGAACAAATTATTCATAGATTTTATGAATGATCTATTCATGAATTTAATGAATGGTTTATTCAGGGATTCCATGAACGATTTATTTCACCAATGGTTTATTCATGACTTTCCTGAATGGTTTATTGGTGAAATCAACCATTGTTCATGGAGTATTGTTCATGGAGTATTGTTCATGGATTTCATGAATAAGATTTCAGAAGTGGATTATTCATGGATTTCATGAATAATATTATCTTAAACATATATAAGGTGTTATTCATGAAATCCATGAATAATCTCAAAAAATTAGCGGCAGGAATTCCCGGGTTAGCGGCAGGAATTCCTGGGTTAGCGGCAGAAATCCCCGGGAAGCTATTTTCAGTCTCAGAAATGTTTGGGATATCGCTTCCCTCACGTGCCTTCAGTTCTGAGAGCCTCATGGTTGGTGAAAACTTGGTTGCGAGCCAAGTATTCGATTCTGTGAGCGATGCCGACATGCTGGCAGAACTTCGATACCTTGAGGACTTCATGGTTATAAGACCCTTTTTTATACCAAAGACCTTTTTTTTTAAGTGCCTGGTGGTGATATTAATCTTTTCAACAGTGGGGCCCCATATCATGCATCAATTTGTTCACTATTCAAACACTGTGCATGTTTTAATTAATACAAGTAACGGCCATGAGTTCATTTTCTCCCCCCAGGACCTGAAGAAGACTATTGAAACTAGACCAGTTGCAACCCCAGCACGTGGAGTTGAGCCCGACCAGAGTCTTGACGCATCTCATCTTAAATCAAAAATGTTCAAGTCCAAGGGTTTCATTATTCAGGAACCTTTTGCAATTTGTTTGGCTGATCCACATTGAACCAAATCATAAAACTAAGGTCGAATCAGTGGAGTCTGCTACTGTTGACCCTTACACTCCTCCTCATCCTGAGCCCTCACCAGCACTTCCCCGGAAGCTCTCCTTTGAATCCGGTCCCAGTGAGATGCCTGCGATGCTGCACGATGGTCTGGTTAAGGATTTGGTTGCGACTGTGTCTGAGTCTGCAACCAAAAAAAGGATTGAAAGGTTGATGCAGCCAAAAGCTGATGGAAGTTTCAAAGTCCCCGAAGAGCTTGTACAGGAATGGCGTACAGGTGACCAAGCCCGTTTACTTCAAGAGTTCAAGCATGCTGGTTTGGATAAGGACCCCATACATGCAAAGCATATATATAATATGTTTTTTGAAAACAACTATTGTATTCCATGAACTCAATGTTGCCAATGCAGGACAACTTTGTGAAAAGAAGCTTGAAAAGAATCCGAGAACAAATATCCGAGAATTCCATGTGGGTGGATGGTGAGTTTGTATCTGAAGCGTACATGAAAGAAGAGCTGAAGCTTTCCTCGCTTCTCGGCTCCACAACTTATAAGGCCTGAAATACTGCCACATGGTAACTTAACTTGTCTTCATTTCTTGAGCATGCTGAACCAAATGACATCTCAGGGACCGAATCAAAAGCATAAAGGCCAAATGTGAGCGAAGCAAAGGGTGGATCCGGTGCCTCAGCATAATTGATATGCTATTAGTGTGCAGCCTATACTGCAAATGCCTGCCCTGAAAAAAAAAAATATTTGAGACATTTGAGCTTGCCTAGGCGTGACCAGTACGACAGGCAGAAGTTGTATTGGTATGAGCACAATCTCAAAGGACGCAAGTTGTATCTTTGGCTGAAATTTCCTGCTACTGTTTCCTTCATAGACATGGTACAACGTTGTCCTGTCTTAAGTCTTAAGTGTGGCTATGCGTGGCTTATCCCATTAAGACATGCTACATGTTATATCAACCCCAGCTCAGGAAATGTGCCCGCAAGACAGTGACTGGGGAGGACTCATCTGATGTGGGAGAGGATGAGTCGAACGGAGACCTTGAACTTGAAGCATGGGATCACGTAGACATTCCCTTTGATGCAGGCCGAGTTTTGGGTGAACAAATAATGTTGATGCCTTATCAGAATATATAATTGGGTAATTTTTAGTGGAATTCCCTATACTGTGGTAACACTAGTCAACATCCCCTACTAATTAAGTTGTATGGATCACTGTTTAGGAATCCCCATAATGGAATGTTCGATATTCAAGTGGATATCCCATACTCCCTGAAAGAAGAAGATGTCATGAATGAGAAGGCGGAAAGCGCGCTGACTGAAGCAAAGGCTTTGAAGCAGATTACCTTTCCCGATATGGATTCGGATGGGCTCCCCAGTAGTTATGTCCCAAAAGTCTTGGGCTGCTTGGGAAAGTGGCAATTGAAGATGGCTGACTTGGCCTCGAAGTTCAAGTACAGTGGAGATTCTTCCCTGAAACAGCTACTAGTCTTTCAGGATCCAGGGTCACATGGTTTGTCATACAATATGTTTCTATAATAATGGTTTCCGAACCTGTGGTTTTGATATCATTATCACGAATTTAGTGCCCCATTGTTCCCAGACAGTACTGGTTCATGTTATGTTGGTTCTTAATCCTTGTTTCTCCACTACTGCTGCTGGCCTGGCCTCTCTGAGGCTGGGTCACAAATGCGAGGCCTTCGGCACCAACCTGTCGAAACTTGCTGATGAGCTTTCCGAAGTGAACACTCATGGGATCGTCTCGGGTTTTACCAATGCGTATCTCACCGCCATTAAGGGGGTGGTTGATTCCTTTATATAAAGCAATTGTGTTCCCTTTCAAAACTGGCCTTATGCTTCCCAGGCAGCAGACCAAAATCCGGGAGATCTATGACAGATGCAAGCAAGAGTGCTTTAGCTGGATGAGAATTGTTCCAGGGAAATCCAGGGATGTTCTGTCCATAAGTGTTTTCTGTTGGGGAAAAAACATGACACAATAATGTAGGAACTGGTTTATACATGTTCTCACATGGTGTTAGAAGCTGGTCTGGCCCAGGTGCCGCCAAGCCCTTTGCCTCCAAGGCCGTGCTGTGTTGCTTGGAATTTAATGGCTCCTTCCCGGGTGGAAACTCAATATGGTGTTCGATTCAAGCTTATCCACCAAATGATGCCATGAGAACCCAAGCTGTTGTGTGTGAATATGCATTAAACCTTTATCCCACATCAATGAATCCTGTGATAAAGTGATATCATTAATCCCGGGTATGAATATCATCCATACATGGTAGATAGTTTAAACATGGGATTTAAAATGTCAGTATACCCCTTTCTCACGTTCCAGCCCACCTCTTGGTACCACTGGCTCCTGCACAACCTGGGATGGTGCGGAAGCTGCAGCATTTTGAGTTGGGGCAATCCAGAAGTATGGGAAAGAAACGCGCTATATACGTTACATTTTTGGGGGGTCCTGCTACAGGTAGTCCCAAACTTTCTATCTCCTCATTGTAATCCCAAGGCATTCAAACTAGTTTGTTTCAAAATCTTTGTGGTCATTCAGGGTACAAGGATAGCATCCCAAAACCTCTGGTGTTGAGTATGTGTGGTAGCTAGAGGTAAAGTGTTTCACTGCTGATAATTTCGCTGGGGGCGAAGCTTGGGAATGGTGATGATGATGAAGATGATGATGATGATGATGATGATGATGATGGTGATGATCATGATGATGATGAAGATGCTGATGATAATGATTATGATGAGGATGATGATGACGAATATGAAGATACTGATGATAATGATTATGGTGATGGTGATGGATAAATGATGACTGGCGTGACTGGAATCAAAATGATAAAGGGTGGTGGTTACAATGTTAAATGATATTGTTTTATAGTGGTGCCAATGCTGATGCTGATGACGGCAAATCTGAGTCGAGGCATGGTGTTGCTGATGATGTGATGGTGACTGTGGTGATGATGATATTGGTTATGATTGTGATGATGATGATGATGATGATGCTGCTGGTGGTAATGACAATGGTATCACTGAACATGTGGCTGGTGATGACACTGATGTTGGTGTCGATGTTGTTGTTGATGATGATGATGATGGTGATGATGCTTATCATGGTGATGATGGTGATGATGATGATCATGATGATGATTCCAATGATGATGACGATGATGACAATGATGATGACGATGATGATGATGATGAGGATGATGATGAGGATGATGATGATGATGGTGATGATGATAAGGATGATGATGATAATGATACTGATGATGTAATTAAAATAATAACAATTCTGATGATGATGATGATTATGATGATGATGATGATGTGGATGTTGATTATGCTGATGATGATAATGGTGCTGATTATGATGATAATGATGATGATGATTATGATGATGATGAATTTGATAATGATTCTGATGATGATGATGATGATGATGTTGATTTGGAAGAATATGATGATGATGATGATGAGCTTGATGAAAATGATTTTGATTATTATGATGATGATCATGATGATGATGATGATGTTAATGGTGGTGATGATGATGTGTTTTAAATTGTTTTAAGTGGCCCTCAAATGGGAAAGGCTTTTTTGTGGATCTCACGCTATATTGTTTTCCTGAAGAAGAGATGCTTTCCTAGGCCGTATCTCAAGTACTTGAAGCAGAAGAGCAAACAAGTGAAGACTGAAGCTCCACCGGTGTAGTGCGATCAGAAAATCCAAGCTATATATATATTATAATATATTATATAACGATTTTTTTCGTTGGATTAGTTGAGACCAATTTATTCATAATATATTATATATATATAATATATATATACTGCTTTTGACACTCATGGCTTGGTACTGATCTTGCCAATCCTTTTTGGTGGAAGCGTGTGTCTGGGGTCAGCCCCGGGCTTTAAGATCCAGGGCTTTGAAAAGGCAGTATCACGCTTCAAGACGATGTCATTTAATTTGCATTTGCGTTTTCATGGAAGCGCTGCTTCTCAGAGCTGCGTCGAGTAGACTCAATAGAGTTTCTGAAGGACCAAAAATTAGCATGCTGCTGTGTGCACTGAGCGTGCACTTGCTAAACATATGGATAAACTGTGTCCCAGTATCAAAATCCAACAAGGTCCTATTGAAAGGGTGTGTTGTTGGCCAGGTGCTTCAGAAGCTGGCCCCATCCTAGAGCATGCAATAGAGGTGGTTGCTGATGGTGTTTCCTGGCTTGGTTATCAAAGTTGCCTTTTTTTTCTAATCGAAGGCCTTGACTGTTCCTGACCATTTTGTCCAGTGAAATCTCCCCCCAATGAGGCTCCGGCAGTGACTGTGGCGCGGCAAACTGCTGCTTTGGCAGCTGAGCATGGCAAGACCTTCGCCAAGAAGGCAATGAGGTCTTTTGGAGTGAGTGTCAATAATGTGCCCCATCTGATATTCAGCACTACGGTTTTCTGTTTGTTACAGCGGGTGATTTAACCCAGCAGAGACATCAAACAAACTAGTGGATGAGAGCTTTTTTTTACCAGGTAGCTGTTCCATTGAACAATGGGAATCAATTCACGCAAATGATCTAAGGCTAGGCGTCTACATGCTCAATTGATCAACAAGTTCAGCCTCTCCTTGAGAGTACCTATTTCTGAATATGTCCATTCTGATGGCCCTGCGACAGCCATCCTTCCATATCTGAAGCCTACAGATTTTCTCCAAACCATGCTGTCAGTGGAGCTTTCCTGGTTGCTTCTTGGTGGTCGCACAGCATCAGATGTTGAAACTGGAAGAGTGCTTGAATCGTTTTGGGCTTGCTACAAGAAGGAGCACCCCGAACATGCTGTTTTTCAACACCCAGAGCGACTGAGCAAAACCTTTCCTATGACTATGCATGGGGATGGTGGCCGTACCCAGAAAAAGCAACCACTTGAAATATTTTCTCTGCAGCCCGTCTTGGGTCTGGACACTGCTTCTCACAGGATGGGCATGTGCCGCTGTGAGACCTCAGCTGCTTATGGTGGTGGCGACTGGTGTGACCCAGCTTCACAACATCTCAACAGCAAGCATTCGACGTATCTGACACACTTTTTGGTGTTTGCATTTCCATCCAAGGCCTACTTAGAGTTTCCGAACATCTTGACTGGGTTACTGAAAGAAGTCATGGACAACTTTGCATCTGCGTGTGAGAAAGGGATTGTCACTCAATCTGGGGATACGTGGTACCCAGCTTGTGTTGGTTTCAAACTTGATATGGAATGGATGGTGAAGGTGGGTTCGCTGACAAGATCCTATCAAAATGTTGGGCATGTGAACCAGAAACCTTGCTGCCATGAGTGTGATGCGGGAAAACAACTCATCCCATTTGAAGACGTGACTGATTGCGCATGCTGGATACGGACAAGATGGGCAACTGTGCCATGGCAAACCATGCCTCCTTGGGCATCTATTCCGTTTGATTCTGGCAAACCCGCCAAGATTTTGAGGCGGGATGCTTTCCATGTGTTTCGATTGGGAATCTGCCGCAACTTTATTGGCAGCACTGTGCACCTTTTGATCTACATGGGTTGTGCCTTGCCCTCCTTGGTGGGCATACTGCAAACCAAAACATGCACACCTGTCCCCAAAAAAGTTGGGAATGAAGCATTGGGGCCTGTGAGTTCTAAAACCCTAACCTGAAAAGGTAGACATTTTCTCTTGAAGTTTTGTATAGTAAAACCACCTTTGAACCTGTGCCCATCTTAGGTTTCAATGAGGCTGGTGACAATGGACAAGCTGCTTGCTTGGCCCGTGCTTTTGCGAATCTCAATCTTTTCTGTTCTGCAAACAACATGAAGATCTACAGCATCCGTGGCTTCACAGTGGCCAACATGCATGCTGCGCGCAACGCGTTCCCTTGGTTGGGGTGCAAGGGGGCTGACTCGATTACAATTTTGAAGTGGATTCGATTTTATGCAGGCTTGCAGCTTCAGCAAAATGGTTGGTCACTCACAGAAAAAAAGGTTTTGGAGTGGATGTTGTCTTGCTCCAGGGCAGGGTTATCCTTTTCGCAGGGGATCCATGGACACGGGATCTGGATGGGGCCATCTTGTGTGTCCCATTGCCGTAGTGCTGTTCAAAGGTTTGGAAACAGCTATGCATACCTCGCTGATTATTGTTTGAAGCAGGGGTACTGCCTCTATGGTATGGTTCCCAAACTCCATTCCTACATGCACTTTCGTACTGATTTCGATGACAGTCTCAAAGAAGGCCGAGAAAACACTCTCAATCCAGCTGTATTTGACAATAGCATGTCAGAAGATTTCGTTGGCCGAATTAGCCGGCAGTCAAGACGTGTCCCTTTCAAAAGAATTGAATGGACGATTCTGCGTTGCTACATGGTGAAAGCTAAACTTCAAATCAAAAGAGTTTGCAAACTTGGCAAACTTGGCAAACGCCGCTGTGTGTGAAAGAAATCTGAGGCATGGACAGAATGAAACCAGAGTTCCAGCGACCGGGCAGCCAAAAAAAGGGCTGGACAGCTGCAGCTGGATGTTGGAGTTAAAACCCAGTTTGGCCACAAATTCAACGGCAATTCTTGCAATTTAGCGGCAGTTTTGTTTTTTACAGGCTGAAATCACATCCCAAAATCCTAGCGGCAGAAAAAGGAACAGGCAGGATTGTTCAGGTATATATATTATATATATATATATCTATATCTATAGTTCACTATTCCAAAAACCATCCAGTTTTCCTTGGAAGTTTCCAGGCTGCCTTTGGCGAGGGCCTGGAGCACTTTCTGCTCTTCTCCTCGGTGGCGGCGTTGCTGGGCTCGCCGGGGCTCGGGGCCTCGGGGCCTCGGAGTTCGGAGCCAGGGCCAGAACTGGCGAAGATATGACCTCATTGAAGTGATATATTAATGTAATAACATAGACCCGGGCAAGCCGGCGGCGGAAGTTTCCCAAACATAAATGACCTATAGTTCAAAGACACCCTGTCCTGACCGTGTCCTTCCCTCGACAACCGTTTGATTTTTTCAGCGAGAGACGAAGCAAAGTCTTCACACTCCACACTCCACACTTCACACTGCACTCTTCGCACTCCAAACTTCAAACTTCACACTCCACACTTCACACTTCACACTTCTCACTTCTCACTGCTTCCTTCACACTCCAAACCTCACACTTCACACTTCACACTTCACACTGCGCTCTTCGCACTCCAAACTGAAACTTCACACTCCACACTTCACACTCCACACTTCACACTTCAGACTTCACACTTCTCACTTCTCACTGCTTCCTTCACACTCCAAACCTCACACTTCACACTTCACACTGCGCTCTTCGCACTCCAAACTTAAACTTCACACTCCACACTTCACACTTCTCACTTCCCACTGCTTCCTTCACACTGCACACTTCACACTGCAGTCTTCATGCCCCACACTTCACACTGCTCTAAACCTACGTGCAACCAAAAAACACCAGCGCCAAAATGGAGAAAATCTGCTAACAAATCCATTTCGCAGCCTTCATGCAGCCACTCCAAGACGATTTACGAGATCCAGCTGCAAAAGACATTACGCATGCAGCCAAAGCAAGAAGCAACCTTGACGCAGCCATTCCAATGCGATCTGCGGAGACTTCTCGACGCCAAAGCGAAAAAAAGACGATTTTGAAGCACTTTTTAAAAGGATTTTTAGAAGGAAAATCACTAGCGCCAAAATGGAGAAAATCTGCTAACAAATCCATGTCGCAGCCTTCATGCAGCCACTCCAATACGATTTACGAGATCCAGCTGCAAAAGACAATAGTATTACGAATGCAGCCACAGCACGAAGCAACCTTGACGCAGCCATTACAATGCGATCTGCAGAGACTGAGTTGCAAAACACAATAGAACTACGCGCAACGGCGTCGGAAATTGTAGCTCCAAAACCGGATCTCGACGCCAGAGCGAAAAAAAGACGATTTTGAAGCACTTTTTAAAAGGATTTTTAGAAGGAAAATCATTAGCGCCAAAATGGAGAAAATCTGCTGACAAATCACTGTGGCAGCCTTCATGCAGCCACTCCAATACGATTTACGAGATCCAGCTGCAAAAGACATTACGCATGCAGCCAAAGCAAGAAGCAACCTTGACGCAGCCATTACAATGCGATCTGCGGAGACTGAGTTGCAAAACACAATAGAACTACGCGCAATGGCGTCGGAAATTGTAGCTCCAAAACCGGATCTCGACGCCAGAGCGAAAAAAAGACGATTTTGAAGCACTTTTTAAAAGGATTTTTAGAAGGAAAATCACTAGCACCAAAATGGAGAAAATCTGCTGACAAATCACTTCCGCCGCAGAGGTAGATCATCGAGGTTCGGGGACGGACTTTGTATGGAAAAACATAGGGTTTCGTGCATCTGCTATCTCTCAAAGACGCATTTCGTGCGAGACTTCCTCCAAAACTCCATCGGCAACTCATCCACCAGCACCACTTGCAACCCCATTTACAATGCGGGAACGATCCTACAGTTGCAAATCACAATGGAATTCTGTCGACCACACATGCACGAAAAACAGTTGAAACCCCATTTACAATGCGGAACCGATCCGAGACCGATCCGAGCATATCCGAGCATGATCCGACCACACACGAGACCGTCTCGCACCCGTCGCACCGCAGAGGTAGATCATCGAGGTTCGGGGACGGACTTTGTATGGAAAAACATAGGGTTTCGTGCATCTGCTATCTCTCAAAAACGCATTTCGTGCGCTTGCAACCCCATTTACAATGCGGGAACGATCCTACAGTTGCAAATCACAATGGAATTCTGTCGACCACACATGCACGAAAAACAGTTGAAACCCCATTTACAATGCGGAACCGATCCGAGACCGATCCGAGAATGATCCGACAATATCCGAGAATGATCCGACCACACACGAGACCGTCTCGCACCCGTCGCACCGCAGAGGTAGATCATCGACGTTCGGGGACGGACTTTGTATGGAAAAACATAGGGTTTCGTGCATCTGCTATCTCTCAAAAACGCATTTCGTGCGAGATCTCGACTTCCTCCAAAACTTTATCGGCAACTCCTCCACCAGCACCACTTGCAATCCCATTTACAGTGAGGGAACGATCCTAGAGTTGCAAATCACAATGGAATTCTGTCGACCACACATGCACGAAAAACAGTTGAAACCCCATTTACAATGCGGAACCGATCCGAGACCGATCCGAGAATATCCGAACATGATCCGACCACACACGAGACCGTCTCGCACCCGTCGCACCGCAGAGGTAGATCATCGAGGTTCGGGGACGCACTTTGTATGGAAAAACATAGGGGTTCGTGCATCTGCTATCTCTCAAAAACGCATTTCGTGCGAGACTTCCTTCAAAACTCCATCGGCAACTCCTCCACCAGCACCACTTGCAATGCCATTTGCATTGCGGGAAAAACTTTCTTTGCTAACTCTTTCTGTGACTAACTCTTTCCCTCACTAAATCTTTCTTTGACTAACTCTTTCCCTGACTAACTGTTTCTTTGCTAACTCTTTCTTTGACTAACTCTTTCCCTCACTAACTCTTTCTTTGGCTAACTCTTTCCCTGACTAACTGTTTCTTTGCTAACTCTTTCTTTGACTAACTCTTTCCCTCACTAACTCTTTCTTTGACTAACTCTTTCCCTGACTAACTGTTTCTTTGCTAACTCTTTCTTTGACTAACTCTTTCCCTCACTAACTCTGTCTTTGACTAACTCTTTCCCTGACTAACTGTTTCTTTGACTGACTCTTT